TATTTTACAATTAACATAACTTTCATTGTTATTTCATTATGAATATTCAATAATAGTTATTATATGTTATTTATTAAATATTGATGTTTTAATAATTAAATCATCATTGGATGAATCATTTATTATATTAGATATTCTTCATTTTATTCATTTTCTATTTGTTGTTTCTTTTCTTTAATACTTCATATTTACTATTGTTATTTCTAGTTTCATTGTTAATTATTTGTTGAATGATTATAAATATTTTTACTACTTCATTCATTAGTTAGTTATTCATTATACTTCTGTTATAATTTAATTTAAATATTATACATTCAATCCTTAATAAAAATACAAAGTTAAATACATTAATAACACATCAATTCAAGTATTATTTTTAACATCAGTCTACTTTAAATAAACATCATTCATTTTTATTTTTACAATAACATTAATTATCTAATAATAATAATAATAAATTATAAAATTGGTAATTATCTATAAATAAAATATTATTGTGTTTTTAGTTTTATATTGTTACTCAACTTTTTGTTATTCTTTTTTATTTCTTATTTGACTTTTTGTTTAAATTATATCTCAAACTCATTTAATATATCTTTCTTTCTTCTTTATTTCTTTTGTTGTTATTTGAATTATTTCTTTCAGTTTCTCCATATTCTTTTATTTTAGATTGAAATACTTCATATTTATATTATTTTCATTGTCTATTTATTCTTATTTCATTTTATTTCCAATGTTTTATTATTCTTTGACTCTTACTTGTATTTTCGTTATTATCATTCTCTTTACTTGTCATTTCTTATTCATTTTTCAATATATTTTTACCATTCATAATCTACAGTTCATAGTTATTATCATTCATCTTCCTCTCTTCAATTGAATATTTATTTCATAACAACTATTATTCACACTGCTCATTGGCATTATCCAAAAATACTGATACTCTTATTTGATGTGACTTGCTTTGATAAAAGAAAAAATTGGTTATAAAAAAATAAAATAAAAATAAACCAATTCATTAATTCTTCATCAGAAAAAAGGTGTCTAATATTATTAAATCCATTTTATTTAATAAATAATAATCTAAGTATGATTTAATAACATTACCAATACTGTACCCATTGATGAAATACCAAATATTTTAAAATAAAAGTAAAGTATTATATAAGTTTTGTTGAGTTGATGTTTATAAATAAAATAGCATTGCACTATTATTTCTTTTCTTTGAAATGATTGGAAATACAAGTATATATATAAATTGAAATTATTCATTTTCTTCTATAAAAATTTAAGATTAATTTTATTAACAAGTTTAATATGAATTAATTAATAAAGACGATAAAATAGTTAAACGTTAAAGAAAGTATTTAAGAGACTAATTTTTCAACATCTCACAGACAGATATGACAAGAAATAAATTATTTTATGTAACTAAAAATTCCAAGGACTATGTCTCTAATTTTCTTTAAAATGAAAGGAAAAATGATTTTAGTTGAAAATAGAAAAATCAATGTAAATTCCTTCTAAAATTCAATTAGATTTTCTTTGAATAACTTCCATTTAAAGAAAAAACTTTATGAAAAGAATTTCTAAATTCATTCTATATCTAAATAACCCCCCTCATTAAAAGGAATAATAAAAATATTAT